ATCATTGTTTACCCTTGGTTACAGAACCAGCAGTCACAATGACTACTTGGATAGAGATTAGACACCTGATATAAAATTATATATTGATTGTATAATATCTTATCAAGGACACATCAGATATCAAAGAGATTTCGTCAATGGACCTTCAACTTTCTCTTTGCCCTCTGGTTTTTGCTCCTGTGTTCAGCAAGTAATTCTGTTTGTGTCGACTTTTTCCCTTCAGTGGAGTATCAGCTAGCTGGAGTATACAGCAAGGTAAGACCTTATGATCAGCTGTTTGGAGATACAAGTCAGAGACACTCATCATTGGTGATATAGACCACGTCATCATATACAGTTAAGCATGTCTGTATTCGTTATTCTTCAGTTACACATTAATGGAACCTCTTTAAATGATTTGGATCCTCTTCTTTGTCTGTCTGACCAAGACAGAACACTGAAGTTTGCAGTTATTGAACTTTTGTTTTTGGCTCATTTAAGTCTGACTGGATATCAAACATTTACTTCATGTAATCAGAATGACACCTAGAAAGAAGAGAGCGACTTCTAACCTGTTGAGGCGAAAGAGAGGTGACACTTCTTTCACAATCGAATCCTCCAGGAATCCAACACACAGCTTTACAGATATGAACGTGGATAACACCAGAGTAAACAAGAGATTGAGAAGCCTGCCGTTCATTCTCTCAGGGGAAATTTCAAAGTCGACAAATGCTCACAACAGTGAGTTCGTTCCTCCAGATCCTTATACAGAAATGGGTGGTGATGAGGCATCTTGCAGTTTAGCTACAAATGATCGTCAATATCAAAAAGCAAAGAAAGCATCAGCTGATGTCCCAACTGCAAGGAAGCCATTGCACAATGATAGGCTGAGCGTTGGAAAACCTGACTGTGTATGTCAGTTCTGTGGTGCTTTTTTTGGTATGCTGAACGATTGGATCGACACAGGAAATCCTTAAATCCTGTGTATAGTCTTTGTTGTCAGAAAGGAAGAGTTTGCATTCCCCGGTTAAAGCCACCACCTCCATTGCTTGCTCAGCTATTGGATCTTAATGGAGGTGCAATGTCAAAGCATTTTAGAGACAACATTAGACCCTACAATGGTTCTTTGTGTTTCACATCTTTTGGAGCCAAACTGGATCCACGCTCTTTGACAACAAGAGGAACTTATTCGATGGTTATTTGTGGTGAGAATTACCATAGGATTGGATCCTTACTTCCAGTTGATGGAAATAGGCCCAAGTTTGCTCAGCTATATATATTTGAACCTGAAAATGAAGTTAACAATAGACTTGCAAACTTCGCATCTCGAGAGGAAGTCTTGCTGCCTGAGTTACTTGCAAGTTTGCTTCGAATGCTTGATGAAAACAACGAGTTGGTCAGAACATTTAGGCGCATTCGACAAGATCTCCAGCTTTCTTCCACACCAAATCTCTGACTCAGAATCTTTGGGATCAAAAGTAGGAATCGACAATATGACTTGCCAACTAGCTCTGATATTGCAGCCTTAATACCTGGTGATTTTGTTGCAGATAGGGAGGATAGAGATATCATTGTTGACCATCGAGGAGAAGGGCTGAAACGTATAACAAGCCTCAACCCAAAATTTGAGGCTCTTCACTTCCCATTGCTATTCCCGTACGGAGAAGATGGGTTTCATCCTCAAATATCTTATAATGCCTCCTTTTGTCCAGCATCAATGCGCAGAAAATTTGTTACTCAAAAAGAGTATTATGCTTTTAGACTTCAGTATCGATTGAATGAGGGGCATACACTGGTTCAAAGTGGCAAGGCATTGCAACATTACTGTGTTGATGCATTTTCAACAATTGAACTCAATCGCTTGGCATTTCTTAGAACTCATCAAAAAGATTTAAGAGCATATGTTTATCAGGGGTTGCAGGATGCATTTGCAAAGGGAGACATGGATGGAGAAAAACTTGGAAGAATTATAATGCCATCATCTTATACAGGAGGACCAAGATATAAGCAACAACTATATCATGATGCCATGGCAACCTGTCAACATTATGGTAACCCAGATTTATTTGTGACATTTACCTGCAATGCTCTTTGGGAAGAAATTGTTGATGCTTTTGCAGATATGGTTGGACCAAACAGCGAGTTGAAGCCTATGGTGGTCTGCCGTGTGTTTCACATGAAGCTTGCCATATTAATTGACGAGTTTAAAAGAGAATCATATTTCGGAAAAACGATAGCCAGTGAGTTACCTGTAGATGACCTTTCATTGTATAAAATTTCTTTTATTATTTGAATGAGCTATCAAGTTCAAATGATGGACTGTTTTTTCGCAGTAATCTACACAGTTGAGTTTCAGAAGAGGGGCCTCCCACATGTCCATATGCTTATATGGTTAGCCAAAGAGGATAAGCTAAAGTCAACATCTGACATTGATGAGATGATTTCTGCAGAGATACCAGACCCCAATCTAGATCCAGAAGGGTATGCTGCAGTGGTTAAGTTCATGATTGATGGACCTTGTGGTGTTAACAACCCCACTTCACCATGTATGAAAGATGGTAAATGTTCAAAGTATTTTCCAAAAGAATTCTGTTCAGAAACTTCGTTCGACAAGTTTGGCAATGTCGTTTACAGAAGAAGAAATTCCGGCATTCAGGTTCAAAAAGGAAAGGCAATGCTGGATAATAGATATGTCGTTCCATACAATCGGAACTTATTGGTTAGAGCTCAAGCCCATATTAATGTGGAGATATGTCACAAGGGAGGCTTAGTGAAGTACTTATTTAAGTACATTACTAAAGGACCAGATAGATCTCTTATTGTTGCAGAAGACTCGACAAGCTCAGTTCAGGTGCCATCAAATATAACAAAAAAAACCAAAGACGAGATACAAGAGTTCATTGATTGCAGGTCGCTGTCCTCATACGAAGCTATATGGAGAATCAATGAGTATTCTATACACCACAGAGAGCCTAATGTGGTTCGACTTGGTGTACACATGGATGGACAACAGAATGTTTCATACAAGAGAAGGTGAAATATTCAAAATGTTTTGCAAAATCCAAGGGCAGGCAAAACTCATCTTACTTCATGGTTTGAACTTAACAGACATGATTGCAATGCAAGAAAGCTTACATATGCTCAGACCAAATTCCTTTACATGGAATGAAGAATACAGTGAATGGACTCCAAGGAAAAGAGGTTTCGCAATAGGAAGGATAACATATGTTCCTCCAGGAAGTGATGATATATTCTTTCTTAGGCTGCTATTGACCAAAGTAAGAGGAGCAACAAGCTTCCTCAATTTAAGAACAATACAAGGGGAGGTTTGTAGTACTTACGAAAGAGCATGTCAAAAGTTGGGGCTTATGTCGGACTCTTCAGAATGGATTCAGGTATTACAAGAAATTGCAGCATCAAGTATGCCACACATAATACGGACTACATTTGTTTCAATGCTGATGTTCTGCGAGATACCTGATCCTAATGCTCTATTTGAATCTTCATGGAGGTTAATGAGTGAAGATCATGTTTATTCTCTTCGTAAACAGCTACACTCAAAAACTTTCCAGCCTTCAGATGAGAGACTTAAGAATTGGGTGTTACATCAGCTGGAAACTTTACTGAGGACTTATGGTTCTTCACTTCAGCAATTACATCTCCCAAGACCGATAGATTCAGAACCTGACGATGGATCAAATCCCCTGATTAATGAGCATCTTAACTTTGATGATGATCAACAAAGGTTACTGGCAAATACTATGGTTAGCAAACTGAACACAAAACAGCTAGAGGCTTTCACACTCATTATTCTCTCCATCAACAACAACCTTGGCACTTCATTTTTCCTATATGGCCATGGAGGAACAGGCAAGACTTTTCTCTACAATGCAATCATTGCAAAATTAAAAAGTCTTTCCAGAATTGCTATAGTTGTTGCCTCATCTGGAATAGCAGCCACACTACTACCAAACGGCACAACTGCTCATTCAAGGTTCAAGATTCCCCTTCATATAGACCATGCATCTACATGTTTCATAAAGAAAGGTACTCATTTAGCTGAGCTAATACGTGCAACTTCATTGATTATTTGGGACGAAGCACCGATAACACATCGAAATGCATTTGAGGCTATAAGCAGGACGTTTTGTGATTTGATGGTGTCGCAACCGCCCCTCCGGATCAGAGGGCCCGTCGCGTCATCGAATCGGAGTCGCCATCGACCTTAGTTGTGGTGGATCGAACACTCATTTGGACCGGTCTCGACCTCAGGGTCGAAACCGGTATTTGGTCTGCGAAATTTATAGATTTGGGTTCGGGAGTACGGTTACGTGTAGGGAAGTGTATTCACACCCCACAACGCCCAAAATTGGTACTACTCAAATCGATAAGTTTTAAAGGGTTGAGTGTTTAAATTGTTAGTGATTTAACTTAAAGTCCTATAGGACTATTGAGTTAAAATAAATTTCGTATACTATTGGTGCACGATGAGATTTTACGTCTATTGACGTGCATCTTGATAGATGAAAAGTTATTGGTTAGCTAGAATCAATTGATCGATGATTATGGAAAGATTACACTATAAAAATAATTATAATCTATTAACCATAATTTAATTTTATTGAATCTTTAGAAGAAAAAAAAAACAAATGCGTAATGATGTAATGAAAAAGATATTTAGAAGATTCTGATGTATGAAAATAATGACGATATAACTAGATAAAAATTTCTTATACGTTTAATTGATTATGTATTAAGCATGATAAGGAATAAAACTAGACGAGGGGCCTAAAAAGTTCAAAAATTGTGATGTAGCTCAGTGGTTTGCTATGTTGATTGGTGAAAAGATAAGAACTGGAGGTCGTGGTTTCGAAGCCACTGAAATGTCTTTGTTTTTTGGTCGATTTAAGGAGAAGGGGCGGTGGCATCGATCGTAATTTTTGTGAAAGAAAGGGCAGATTAGTCAATTAGGTGGAGGCCAGAGGTATATAAGCGAGACTGACTAACGAAAACCCTAATCCCCTTGGATTTGAAACCCTAAGCGGCGCCCCCATATTCTCTTTTCTTTCGTTTCTTTCTTTCCCTTCTCCTGGAAATCCGATCGACAACCGAGAAAAAAAACGAAAACGAAACCCTCAAGATCCAACCCCTCTTATCTTTCGTACTCTCTGGAAATCGAGCAAAAAAAGAAAAAGAAGCACCGATTCACTCCGATTTCTCTCTCCCTCGCCCTTCTATATCACGGCGGTGACGATGACGACGGTGAAGCCGGGTTCAGCGGTAAGTTTTTGGTTGCATGTTAGCTTTTTTGTGCGATTGTGAGCTGGTTGTTTTTAGGGTTCTAACCCCTTTTTGTCTTTCTTTTGATTTCTGGGTTTAATGGCGAACGAGGGAAGAAGAAGAGGATGAAGTCACCGGCGGTGACAAGACTGATGGGCAAACGACAGTGAGTATAATGGGTAATTTCTAGGTTTCGATTATACTCTCTTTGCTTTATCCAAATACTAACTCCCTTTTTTTCTTATTTTAGCAGGTTTGAGAAGAGTCTAATTCTGGGTGAGGACTCTCCCTACTCTGATTTTGGTTTCGATTAACCTGTGCTGGATCTAGTTAGATTAGGGTTTTTTATGATTAATGGTCCTGAGTTTGGGATTGCGGTCTGGCTATTGTAGTTGATTTGGACATAAATTTTATGATTCTGAGATTTGAGATTAGTGGGGGAAAATGGTTGTGATTGTCTCAATTTTGTGGTAAGTCGATGGTTTTGAAACTCAGAATCAATTCTAAATTTGTCCTTTCGGTTAACATACTAGTGTCTTTCGATTAATATAGCTTTGTTGAAATGGGTGTGCTTTTTGGGTATTCAGGAAAAATGACGAATCTGTTTTTGGTGATCTCATCTATATTCTAATTCTAGAAAATAAATGGATCGAAACATGACATAAATAAAGGAATTGTAAAATGAAAGAGAGTAAATTGCATAATAAGTAATTAGCTTAGCTTAACATAACAGTAGAGATAGTAATAGGTTATTATGAGTAATTAGTTAGTAAAGTAAATGTGCTTGAAGTAAGTAGATAAATGGATTGAAAATAAAACAAAGCTGAAAGGAAGAGCTGAGCCTGATAATGTAAATGAGATTGGTAAAGTTTGGATTGATATAAGTTGTGATTTCTTTTCTAAAAACAGTTTGGTCTTGTTGTAGTTTGATATTGGAGTTGATTGGTGTTCCTTATTATAAGAAAACCTTGTATGGAAAGCTAAAAATTAGATGATTGTGGCTGATAGGAGTAAATAACAGTAGCAATAACAACACCAATAATAATAGAAACCAGTTATGCAAGAATGAAAAGAACAAGAAATGGGAAGAGAAGAGTGATAGAGGAAGCCGTGTTATTACAAGTGGATTGACGATTCACCTTTGATTTGCAAGCTTTCTTATGCCTCTGTTATCCCGGGAATATTCTGCTTCTATTACAAAAAAAATGAAAATGGAAGAACAGAGTTTGCCCCCCTCTCTCTATTTTCCCCAGAACCAAACGGAAAGAGAAACCACTATAAACTGAGAAAGTGAAAGAAATGGAATTATTTCCCCCGTGTTTTTTTCCTTCCTCCCCAGAAAGCTGTCCCTGGTTCTTGAAATTTGAGCCTGCTTTTATAGAAAAAGGAGGCGGTGATTTCTGGGTTCGGTCAGACCAGTTCTGGTTCGACCGGTCCGTCTGTTGGTTGGGGTCGTTGGGCTGGTTCGGATTGCTGGCCCATTTTGCCTGATCTGGTCCAAAGTGGTTTTAATGCTTGGGCTTGAAATGTGGCCCGTGATCTTCTGGACTTGTCTTGGATCTGGGCCTGAATAGACTGTCTCCTTTCTTCTTGCAGGATTATGGCGGATGAAGTAAGAGTACGCTACAAATATCAAGTTTTAATTTGTAACACTACTTTTATAATGATGTTGTATAAGTGCAATTTTATGCAGTAATTCATATTTGTAATTTGTTATTCTGATTGTAATTATATAATTTATTGATAATTTAAATAAAACTTTATTCTTCTTCTGTACTTTTTTGTGTTGGGCTAAGAGCGTAAATTGGAAGCCAATCGGTCTTATTAATCCACTCGAATCGAATTTGAATAATTTATACAATCGTCGATATTTTAGACTCGTAATGGCCAATCTAGTGGCCAATCTAATTATCTTACGACATTTAAAGATTAATTAGAATTTTTAGTTGAGTAATTGACCCGGACAAAATGGGGTGTCTACAGATGGACATACCACTATCAGGTCCAATACACAAGTTGTTTGGAGGGAAAACAGTTGTCTTTGGTGGTGATTTTAGACAGACTCTACCAGTAATTTCGGATTCAGGAAGGGAACAAACAGTGGATGGATCCATCACAAGGTCATCATTGTGGCCCTTTTTTAAAGTGCTCAAACTGTCAAGGAACATGAGGCTTAATGATTCACAGGATAATAGAAACCTGGTCGGCTGTGGAATGAACTTTGGTGAGTGGATTCTGGCGCTAGGAGATGGAAGGCTTCCAACAAAATCCTTTATGGCTAACACACCTTCAGATTGGATTGAGATACCACAAATACTCTTGATATATGCTGGAAAAAATCCAATCGAGTCAATCACAAATGACATATATGACACATTTGAGGAACAACACATGAGCACAGATTACCTAAGTGGAAGGGCAATCGTTACTCCTACTAATGCAGTTGTGACTGAAGTGAATGACTTCATGTTGCAAAAAATTCCTGGACATTGCCGTTGCTACTACAGTTCAGACTCTATGCAACTTGATACAGAGGTACCTCAGCTATTTGCTGAAACTTACCCAACAGAATTTTTGAATGCTCTTCAGTTCAATGGTGTTCCAGATCATGAAATAAGACTTAAGGTTCACACTCCGATCATGTTGCTGAGAAATTTGAGCCCACCAAACGGCCTGTGCAACGGTACGAGGATATTGATTACGAAATTGGGGGAAAATATCATTGTTGGAAACATCATGGGAGGATCTTTTGACACAAAAGAGGTTGTTATACCACGAATAGTACTCAACGTAGAAGACAAACGCTGGCCCTTTATACTGAAGAGGAGGCAATTCCCAGTACGGTTATGTTATGGGATGACTATAAATAAGAGCCAAGGTCAAACGCTGGACAAGGTTGGAGTCTATTTGCCCAAACCAGTATTCAGTCATGGACAGCTTTATGTGGCAGAATCAAGAGTAAGATCTGCAGGTGGTTTGAGATTCTTGATTGAAAATGAAGAGGACATTCCAGCCAGTTACACGAGAAACATTGTATATTCAGAAGCCTTCACAGATATTGCACCTGGTTAATTTTGGAAGCATCGAAGAAGCTCGAAGTGATTATTATGAATTCTCCCAACTTTTTGAATTTTACGCCTGGGAAAATTTGTTCTTCCAGTTCTTGCGTTGTTCTTAACAAGAGACACGTTTTGTGTTTATTATTTCGAAACTCAAAGCTAGAAAGCAGTCATGAGTTATGATCAGTTAACATCGGTTCGGACTATCCAGAGAGAACTTAGAAAGAAAATCGATGAGCCCAACTGATACAACTTGACAGACATTCATCGCAGGAGCGTATTGTAGCCTTTTCTGTAAAAAGGCCTGATTCAATAGTTAGAACCCATTGCATACCATACAGAGCCCAAACACGATGTCAAGGCCCAAACAATCGATCCAAAAAGGACTTACCCTAAGTTAACCCTAGCTTACATAAACTACCGATTGTTTTTTATGCCTTCTAAAATCAACCGCGCAGTCAAGATAAAAACAAAAAAGGGAAACCAGGATCTCGAAGAACTGGAAGCATTCTTCTACCCAACAGATTTACAGTTGTATAGTACGACTGATACGTGAGATTCCGTGGACCCACACAAAATGGACCCGAATGAACTGAAAGGTAAATACATTGAATCTGGAAAGAAATCCGACAAGCGCATCCCGATTCCTATGCAAGTTTTTCCCATTTATTATTTATCGATTCGTCTTTAATCGGATTGCAGAGTCTATTGAATCAAGCATGTGCTTTCGGGGACATCGTTTGGGAACAAACAATCGAACCGTTATAGCAAGACATGTCGTTACATGGACTGAGTTCCGAGAAGTGCCTTTATCCACATGGAAGAAAAGGACACATCACATGCTCTGGCTTGACAAAAAGGTTTGACTCCAGATACCCCAACCATATTCATAAATATTCGTCAGAGCATTTGATTCAGTGTTAGGACAAAAGAACTTGCCAATATACAAACCCTGGACATCAATTAACCTACTGGCAAATGCTAAAAGAACAAAAACTCTTGACAACATATTTATCTACCATTGACTTTACAGAACAAATTGATCGAAGCACAAGTTGAAGAAGAAGATGCATCTGAGGTTTTTAAGAAAATAAAGGTTGGTTGCCTGCATGAACTACAAGATATTGTAGCAGGTCCAGCAAGGTCAGTGCAACGCGTTGTCCATCGAGAGTTACACCTGCTCCTCACTTCAGATCAAATTAGGAGACACATTGAAGAAGGAAATGGACCTCAGCAATTCCCAGTAGGATCATACACAACAGCCGATTTTTCCATTGTGCCTCAAACATCAGAAGACTTTGTCTGCCATTCAGGTAAATATATGTCTCTGTATCCATGATTAAGAACACCATTAAACAAAGCATAACAAACATTAAATCTATAGATGTTACAGGATGTGTTAGAAGACTAACTCATCCAGAAACAATTAAAGGAAGGATTCAGAAATTCGACCTGCTCATACAAGATGTCTGGTATGCACTTAAGATTGTACACTTTTTTTTACTTTGTCAAAATGTATAGTTAACGCATTGGTTTGCAATCAGTGGGGCAAAGGCTTATGTTGAATACAGTGGCCATGACATTGATGATTTTCAAAAGAATGCTCTAGCAATTGAGTCAAAGTTACCACTGATTGTGACAATCAGATCAGTTAGTAGAGTAACTCCTAGACATAACAGTAAGTATCAGCATGAATTTCAATCCACAATTGCAAGCAAGCTCATCATCCATTTTTATCAGGACTGCTGCAAGGATGTCATGAACATGTGAGTTGCTGTATATTGGTTTACCCAACTGATTGGTTCAACTACTATCGAGTTAGTGATACTTACACATTTATTTTCAACGTGTAGCTTTCTTGCATGTCGCAAACCAGTATACTTCATCGATGATGCTACTTGCAAAAAAACTGGACACCTGCTGAGCAATCAACTGCAAAAGAAATCGCTGAGAGAGATAAAAGAAAGGATGGAGGACCTGTCAGATTTCACAGAGGTAAACGAACAAACACCAGCATTGACAACAGCTGTATATTTCCATCTGTTTACCTGTATAATACATCTGACAGTTTTTGCAACAGGTTACTTACATGACATTGATTAACATTCCAAAGTTTATATACAGAAAAAGCATCTGTTAAGTTCGTGGAGAGAACACAGGGTAAGCTTTTGACCATTCTCCCATGTTTACACAAGGCATAATAATACTCTTTGTATAACCTAACAAAAAAAAACTTTATTGCAAGACTGACATACAAACTGGAAGGGAAATGTCGCCAAGGAGGATCTGAAATAGATGTGGTGTTTAAGCATGAAGCAGCTTTGTCACTTATTCGTAAGTCACCGTCTGATTATCAGTTTCTGAAGAAGGACGAAATCATCGAATTGATCGCAAAGAACTGTAACAAAAAATATGCTGCGGAGTTGAATGTCGCATGGAAAAAAGTGGGGGACAGTGATTCAGACATGCAGCCAAAAGCGACAGTGCTCACCCTGTGGGACCGATCAGCATTCGAGAAATGATGTTGTCCTTCGAAGCTTGCCATTTTGATATCGTGCAAACAACAAAGGCACGAAACTTCTGAAAACATTTTGTCCTACTGTTTTCCAAATCTTCAGTCTCCGCCATGGAACTTTTATTAGTTTAGTAGATATATCGTGGAGACTTGGCAACACTCCTAACTACATTCATGTTTATTCTGCAAACCCAGTCAATCTTTTGCATAATGACCGCAGTTTTTATGTTTATGACAATGACAACATTTATGTCTATGTTTGGGACATAACAATTATGGTTATAGATTATATTAAATCCCATTTAAATTATGACAGAAATAGTATCCCGCAGCAGAGCGCAGGCTGAATCCTAGTATAATATTATTCCTAATAAATACAGTTATAGTTCATCGAGATATGATGAAATATGGTAAAAAAATATGAACTCAATCATCGCGAAAGGAGCAGTTAACAATAACTTTTGCTATTCTTTTTGACAATTAATGCTTTCCACAGTGGAAGTTACTGAAATAAGGTCGGAATAGGAAGAATTGATGGTCGTCTTTTAAGTCCATGTGACAAATTTCCATTGCCAAAAGGATGGGGTTCATTCATAGCAATTACCTCATAAATCTAAAGTTGTTATTAGTTTGTAGGGAGACTTGATGATACTGTATGAACAAAATCTCATCATTGCAGAGCCAAATTTACATGGCTCTAAGACAAGGATCGTATTTCCCTAAGGCCTCTCGCATAACCCTTACTCCGAAAGGGAGGTACGGTTCTATTGAAGAAGAGGTCGATTTAGGAGGTTGAGTTGCCTCTGGTTTTGCATAATGTAAAATTTTGAGAGTAAAATGTGCAGAAAAGTAAATCTATTCTAATGGATGAGTGAGATCAGAGAAGGATACGTTGCACAGGCAAGTTGCCCCTAGGTCTCCTAACCATGAGTCCCACGATGATCGGAAGCACACGAGCTGTCAATTTCTTATTTTGTTAGATACCACTTTATAAGCATTTACCCGTATTAATGGGAGACAAGGACCCTTCAGATTTCTCCCTAGAGGCGTGACGTCGTTCTATCGAATGATGTTCAATCAAATGACGTTCGATCGAATGGGACTGCTATTTCTAGTCTCATCCTAAGCGACTAGGATTTCGATCATTGCACCTCCAAGGAGTGCAAGGTCGACTATGCTCTCATTTGAATTGAAAAATAACAAAATAGAGAAAATCAAACATCAAGACATATGAAGTAAACACACTCGTATTAAACCAAACATCAAATTTACATGGTTAGAACCCCTAGGGTTCACAGATCTATGCAACTAAGAAATTAGCCATCCATGGGGAGGGGTTCCTGGGTGTTCATCTATTGAAATGAAGACCCCAGAATGCTCACACGGCATGGTAGGTAACAACCTTGGAGTTTCAAATGATCTTGAGTGATTATCTTTCCATGGTAAGCTAACTAAAGAAAGGCTGATATTTAAGTTGAAGCAACTGAACTCTTAATACATTTTTTTTCCTGGAAGGGTTCTTCTAAACCGAGGAAAATATCTTGAGTCATGAACTTGTAGTAACCGCGAACGAAGAACTTGTTATCTGAAAGAATATATTAGAGCTAGTCGTAAGTTCCCAACAACCAAGTGTTAGAATATCAAAGTGAGTGGACCATTATGTAACAAGCCAGTCGGCTTATGTGTAGGGTTTGACGTATCTGACCCTATATATATGTAATCTGTGAACTGTACAAACTGATCACATGAATAAGAATTTTGCTTGGAGAGTTCTTTATCTCCCATTGCTAGTCTTGATAATCTCAGGGAAACCATGCTAAATGCTTGTGTTCTTTAGTTTTCGTATGGTATTTGATATGTTACTAGAGCTTTCCACCTAATTAGTTGGTTTGAAAAATCGTGGACTAAGTTTGAAAGCTGATGTTGATAGGACATCAATCTAGTGTTTCTTAGTTCCAGGTTTTGGCAAGTTCCTGCTTGCAGAATCGCGTTTGTTCCAAATGATTGGAAATTTTGTGGTGGCATTATTGTATCCACGGGGTTTGCTACTAGAAGAGTTGGTAAAGGTTGTTCGTGCTGCATGTTTGGGTTTTTTCGTTTTACTATTTTGGGAGTTTCTATTGGCTGGTTTTGGACATTAGCTATAGAGTATTGTTGCTACGTATTCGTACCCAATGATGGTATTATGGATTCTTTCAAGCTCGACTTTGTTTCCATAACGTTTAAAAGAAAATATCTCGTCATGGAAGTTTCAATTTTGAAACTCCGTTGTTGGGAAACAAATTCTAGATGTTTTGATAGGTGAGACTAAGTTTTTCCTATGGGTGCGACGGAGAGAGAACATGAAGATTGGGAAGTTGTTAACAACCAGTTGGTTTGATAACTCGATATTTGTACAAGTTTTGCCACCATTTTTACACTGTTTGAGGATCGATTTTTGTGTTTTAATACGATTTCACACTAGGTTGTGCTTTTATGTTGTTTTTCAGGACGTGGAGCGGGAATGGAGGCTTGGGAGCGAGTTTGGGGTCGAAAGCATAGAGTGGATGAATAGTGGAGCGGGAAGGAAATTTCCTCGGTCCAGCTATCTATATACCCGATCGGGTTGGAGGCGGGGGAAATTGATCAGAATCCTCCCCGGTCAGAGAGCCTTAATCCCCGATCGGGGATCCTAATAGGAGGTCGGGGAATCTCCTTTGAGGACTTATGGATGCGTTTAGTTTTAGTTAAAACCAGGTCTGGTCTTTAAATACCCGACCGGGTAATCAGGCTGGGGATGCCCAACTCGGGCTGTTATAAGCTGCAAACGCGAAATTGAATGCATTTGATTTTGAAGCTGGAAAACAGAGGTTTAGAGTGCCCTAGATCAAGTCTCCCCACCATTGGAGCTCGATTCAAGCCTCGAGGGGTGACAATTGAAGACCCGAAGCAGATTTCTTCCTTCTACACGATGATTTCCACATTCGGCTCCGCTTTCCACTCTCTCTATGGAGTAATCCCCTCTGTCACTTGGGTATTGAAACAATCAAAGTCGCACAAATCAAGAAATTCGAACCAAAAGATAGAACCAAGATAGGATTGAAATCAATCGGACAGAATTCACTCATGAAAAGGGGCAAATAACAAGTTATGGCTGAGTTTAAGCTCAAAATAACAAAAACAACACTTTTACTCCTTCTTCCTCCACGACTTGCAACAACATAAAGGGCTTGTATTTGAATAACGCCACATCCATGCTTGCAAAATAACATCCCAAATATGTTGCAAACTTGTCTCTCATCTCCTTTTCCTTAGAACGTGTGACTGGCCCTTTGATGCCCTCATCAGTCCCTCCTTCTTAAAAAGGATTTGACCTCAAATCCAAATTGACATCCAAATAAGGTGAAAGGTCAGAAACTTTATACATTGCACTTACTCCATACTCACCTGGAAAGTCGATCTTATATGCATTGCTTCCCACCTTCGAAACTACTTAAAATGGACCATCACAATGAGATAGCAACTTTGATTTTCTTTGATATGAGAATCCCTCCTTCCTCAAGTGCACCCACACCCAGTCTCCCACGTCAAAGTGCCTCGGCTTCCTATGTTTGTTAACATTCCTCATAATCTGCTATGTTCTCCTTTCAATGTTCAATCTAGCTTTATCGTGGAGACTCTTTACAAACTCAACCTTCTTTGCTCCGTCAAGATTGACTTGCTCTTTCAAAGGTAATGGTGTCAAATCCAAAGGTGTGAGAGGATTGAAACCATACACGATCTTAAAAGGAGATAACTTTGTCGTCGAATGCACCTTTCTGTTGTAAGCAAACTCCATGTGGGGTAGACAGTCTTCCCAAACCTTGATGTTGCTTTTGATCACGCCTCGAAGCATCTGGGATAGAGTTCAATTGACCACTTCTGTTTGCCCATCGGTTTGAGGATGACATGTGGTATAAAATAGCAACTTCGTCCCCAATTTTCTCCACAACATCTTCCAAAAGTATCTAAAAAACTTGGTGTGTCGATCAGACAGTATAGTACGTGGCATCCCATGCAATCTCACCACTTCCTGGAAAAACAAATCCGCCACATTCACAACATCGTCAGTTTTATGACATGGTATAAAGTCTGCCATCTTTGAGAACCGATCCAAAACCACGGAAATGGAATCCATTCCCCTCTTTGTTCTCGGCGAACCAAGCACAAAATCCATAGATATGTTGATCCATGGAGCATAAGGAATCGGCAATGGTGTGTACAATACAGATGATTGCACCTTCGATTTGGCCTGCTTACACTCCACGAATCTTGCACACAGATTCTCCACGTCTCCCTTCATGTGGGGCCAATAAAAATGCTCTTGTAGACATCTCAGTGTCTTGTCTACACCAAAACGCGCCTTGAGACCTCCTCAGTGAGCTTCCTTCAGCAACAAGTCTCGAGGTGATGCACATGGAAGCATAACTAATTAGCTCGAAGCAGATAGCCTTCACTTCAAAATTATTTCCCATCTCCATGCTTCTGACAAGCCTTATAGATTTCTCCAAAGTTAGCATCATCATTATAAAGCTCCTTAATATGCTCGAATCCAAAATATCTGGCATCCACTGTGGTGATCAATGTATGCCCTCGAGATCAATGTAGTCAAAAGCGCATTTCTACGTAGAAGTGTTTTGGTGATCTAGAAGCGTAAAATCGTAAGTTTTTAAGCTTTAAAGCGCATTTTTAACTACATTAGCTATAAAACTATGATTTTGCGTATAGGCATTTTGGTGACTTAAAAACGTGAAAGTGTAAGTTTTTAAACTTTAAAGCGCGATTTTGACTACATTGCTCGAGATAGGACATCGGCAACTATATTCTCCTTGCCCCACTTATACTTGATCACATATGGGAAAGATTCAGTGAATTCCATCGATCAAGCATGTCTTTTGTTAAGCTTATGTTGAGCCTTCAAATACTTGAGGGACTCATGATCAATATGTATCACAAACTCTTTTGGCCATAGATAATGTTGCCAAGTCTCCAATGCTCGTACCGATGCGTAGAGCTCCTTATCGTAAGTAGGATAGTTGAGGGCAGTCCCACTCAACTTCTTGCTGAAGTATGCAATAAGCATCTTCACTTGCATTAACACAGCTCTGATTCCCAAACCAGAAACATCACACTCCACTTCAAACGTTTTACCAAAGTCAAGTAATATCAAGACATGAGCATGGGTGAGCTTGTTCTTGAGTAGCTTGAATGCTTTGGTAGGAGTAGGCCAAGCTCGAATTGCATTCACCTTCTCTTCATCCACCTTGACTCCATCTTCACTCACCACAAAACCAAGAAAAAAAAACACTAGAGGTGCAAAACGTGCACTTCTTGGGGTTAGCAAACCTGATCTCAAATCAATCTTGGAAAACACACTAGATCCATGTAATTCGTCAAGCATATCATCTAAACGAGGCATGAGTATAACAGGAACTGCACAAGAGCTCATGCTTTCTCGAACATGGCCTTTCTTCATGAGCTCGTCAATCTGCCTCTGCAACTCCTAGGACTCCTCTGGATTTGTTCTTTAAGCTTCTTTGTTCAGAATAGTAGTTCTAGGAACGAAATCAATGATGATCCCTAGAGGGGTCTCAGTTGGATCAGAATAGCGCAGCAAGCTCAATCAATCCAATAGATTGATTAAGAACGAACAGAGTTCAAACACATGTTCGATTGAACGGGTTAGAACTCGAATTTGTTGGAAACAAAAGGGGAATCTCACACCTGGGAGATTACACAATTGCTATAAGGAAGATTTCAATGTGATCGAGTGTGGTTTCTCGATCAGTAAGCCAAGATTAGCAAGCTTTGGATCTCTCGAAAACCAAAACAAAACTCACAAACACACGTTTGAGAATTAGGGCAATTTTGTCTTTATTCAATCTAAATTGTACAATACACGAAGGAAGCCTTTTATAGGAAAAGATCGAACTGAAACAAAGCTAAAACACAACTTGAAATAACCTAATTCTACAAGGAATGAAACAAAACACCTAATCTGAATCCAACAAGGATTCTGCCTTTAGCTTACAAAACAATTAGTTCTAACTAGCAACTTCGGAACGTCTTGAACATGGATCAAATGAACTCCAAACCTTCACCAATTCCTTTAGGTTGTAGATTGAAACATTTACTTTAATGTGGCATAGCTCTCTGGCCTTGATTCTCCTCCATCTGGTTCAAATTAAACTCCCAAGATAGCTTCTTTATCATGGTTCATGCCTTAGCCATTTTCAGGCAGTTTCTCGGTTTAAACTGGGAACTTTGGCCAGCTTCAACCATAACCTTCCAGGCTTCTCCTTGAGAATCCAAGCATTCCCATTTGTAGAAGAACAATCCACCTTCAAAACAAGCCATTAAACTCAGGTTTCCACCGAGCCAATTGAGGGAACCAAGCCTCCAAAGTTGACGACGTGAAACACATAAAATACTTGGCCAAAATTCAAATCCCTTCTTCCCAATTGAACTTGCTTCTTGATCAATCCATGGGATCATATCAGGCCCCCTTGTTGAAAAAGTTTTGCCCTCAAAGCTTGCACCTTCTTCTTCTCGAATGATACACAAAATTGATCCCAAATTGGATCCAATGTAAGTTGTTCGGACTTCAGTGCCTGCAAAATTAGGTCATACATGTTCTTCGCTAGAAATTTTGAGGGTTTATTCTTCAGGGATCTCAAACTCAATTGAACGCGCTCTCGAGCTTCGTCTTACTTCCAATTGAAGTTCTGCACCAGTCCGTGGCTTCGAATCTGCACCATCTCGCTCGAATCGAAGAATTCAGTTTTCCCGCCATCGTCACAGTTCAGATTTTCTGGGCACAGGAATCCCTATTCGATTTTGGAGCTTTTGTATTCAAGCATTCCCGCACTGAATTGACGAATCCAGCTTCCTAGGACTTTCCTCGATGTTTCTTCATCAGTGGTTTGGCGCGAATCGATCCCGAACTTCACAACCATTAAAGCCGTTTTTTGGTCGTGATTGCTCGTTTCCAGGACCGATTCTGCCCGATCTCGATTCTGGAAATGAGATGCAATCGAAGCGAACCATTCCAGGGAAAATATCCATTGGGTTGCCTGGAATGTTTCTGCGCCGCTGGGCTGGATCGACTTGGTCTTCAGACCTCCACCCAGATCACTCTCTCTCTCTTCTCCTGTTCTGCCATCGGCGATGAACAGAATTGTCATCTCTCGGTCGGGTGCTGAACTTTACCTCGTCAGAGAGTGACAGGACCCAACGAGCAAAAAGCGGCGTAAAAAAGTATGTCGATTGATCTCCATCCATTTGCGAGAACTCGTTACATGGTGTAGTTGGCGATAGTAGCCTCATTTACCAGAGGGTCATCATGGGGATATTCGATATCCTCGAGGTCTCGAGAATCTAAGAAGATAGGATTATGATCTGTGGTAATGGAGGTGGAGCTGACCAAAGTTCAAGCGTAGGTCTTATGAGATATTGAACATTCCTATTGTAGTTCGGCTCCTCCATGTATGGACTTGTACAACAGCATTTAACACCGATCCGCTTCCTTGTGGAGCTTTTTCTTTGTCCGATGATGAAGGTTGTTGGATTGAGCTTTTGAGACTTTAGATGAACTGTTTAAGTTATCCATTATGAATAACTCCCTCAATGGAGTCTCCCAACTTCTCAAATTCCTCAGTGTCGTGCTCACAAGCAACTCAACTCACTTGCAGTCTAAGTCCGCGAACAGTTGACGGTAAATAAAATAAAATCACAAATTCCCACCAAGGACGATGACCATGCCGTGCGCAACCCATCATCTTGCCTTGTTCCTTCTTGCATATGAATAAACGTAATGAATGAACATTCAAGCTAGTCAGTCAGTCCCCCAAATCGCATTCTTGCATTTCTCAGCCATAAACAAATACAGCGAAATATTCTTGTTATTCAAGTCTAAAAGGATTGGCACCAAACTAGAGTCGGACATGTTCCCATGGAGATCTAGCTCATTTCCGTAACATGGAACATGATCCCAAAAAAAGCCCACAAATTCAGCCATCACCTCTTCTGAAAACTCGCACCCCAGATTGTTTGGCACCATCCACTACATCATCCACCAAATCGCTACTACAGCTTAAGCATCAGCGAATCTGGCACCGGACAAAAATAAGAACCATAGTTAGACACCAAACCTTAGACCGGCAACCAACTTTAAAGACAAGGATTCATTACCCGAGCTCGGACAGCTTCAGATGAGCTTCGGAATAGTCGCAGAAGAAAGCATCCTCGTCCTGCATTTGTGAAATCGTGGATTAGAAAACAATCACATTCCCTGAGCTCTCAAACATTAAATTTATAATAATACTAATAATAATATAAACGTCTGAAAACACCCACCGCAGCGTATTTATCAACAAGGGGGCGGAAGACGGGATCAGAGAGTAGTGCCTTGTCAGTTGGCAACTGTAGAAGACCTTCCTTCTCACCACTCAGGAGCTCCCTGAAGATTTAAACATCACAAGCATATAAAAACTCATTTCCATAAGCACACCACAGATTGAAGAGAACTAATGGCATTCAAGGACACATACTTGAAGTAGCTGTTATCAAAGATAAGAGGGTTGGCAGTCCAGGGGCCTTCAAACCCAGATCGCTCCTTGTGGCACCTTCCCTGAGAAATCATTTCACACAATTGGAACTCTCAGATACTGCATTAACGAGAAGGTGACATTGTATTCGTGAGTGAGCACTAACCAGAGTGTGGCCACCAGATAGAGCAACAATATCCTGATCGCTTAGACCCATGGTGCCAAAGACATCTCTCAGGTGGTCAGATCCTGCAAGAACAGTGATCCCATGATCAATATGCACTCGCAAATTATTTTAAACATGGGACAGACTACTTAAACCAATCGACAAACAAACTTACCCTTGGTAGCATCGGGGAGGCGGCCCTCTGGAGGTGGCTGCGGCTTGTCCTGAATACAAGAAAGTTCAATGTTCCCAAAATTTAGTCCACAAGACACATAATACATACACTAAGACAGATGAACAACAAACTATGAAATTTTCACATGTGCAGGAATCCAAACAACTACCTCCAGGCAGAAAGTTGCCACAGAAAGTCACTCAATAAGGGACAAACACAGGAGAATTAGAGTTGGCAGAGAACTAAAGATTTCTCAAACACATTTGAACTGGTCTCAATACCAATTTGGTTCAATACTTGGCTTCAGACATCCAAACATCTCTTGCATACTACTAGAGCTCGATAAAAACACTAGAAATGCCTACCAAAAGAAAAACAATAGAAGTGGGGATTCATTTTCTTTAAACAAGTAGGAAATGGATCTCTCATTGTGCATAAGACTGGAGAATTGACGCCAGAAACCTGTTACATTTTGTTTACTGTGATTAAGGAAAAAATGTGATCTCGGCCATGAAAAGGAACCAACTCTACCCGAATGACACGACATTCCAAAGCAAATGGCCCTTCACAAAGAAGTTAAACGGCAACTAATCCCCGAATTCACCATTGAAGAAAGAAACTACACCAAAACAATCATGGACGTAATAGTTACAGTCTTACAGACCTCTCTACCAGGGTGGAATGGAACTTCAGGTCCTCCAGTGATCTCGACAGCAACAACACCAGCGAGCTGCGTGCATCAGATCACAAATTGTAAGTCAACGAAAAATTGACATTCACAAATCGAATACACATCCACCGTAAGAAGAAAATTTCTTTAACAGAAGCGACGAACCTGATAGAAATCAGCGTAGGTGATGTTAGGGAACTGCTCCTTGATGGGCTCAAGGAGTCTCACAGCAATATCCAGCCCATTATTAGCCCCATGGGCCAGCTCGGCCGCGTACCTCATGGTTCCGAATGGGCCGCCAGTCTTTGACTTCACATCGAAGGTCCCAGCTGAGTGCCATCTGCACCACCACCACCAACCAACACTCGAATCGCAAATCACAATCTGACCACAAACGAACCCCAATCGCCCACAGGCCACATCCAAACAGCACAACAAAGAGAGATCGGAAACCACTTACGCGAGACGGAGCATCAGAGGAGCGCAGTTCTTCTCGGCGATCAAGGCTCTGAGCTTCTTCTTGGCCTTGTCGATGGACTTCTTGTAGTCCTCGTTCACGGTGGGGTAGTTCTTCGCCATTGTCGCCGGCAGATTCTGGAAAAAATAAACAAAATAAGAAAATACAGCCAGATCGGATTGAGCAGACGGAAGGAGCTTCGAGAAAGAAATCGGAGCTACGACGACCGGCGAACAAACAAGAACACACGCGAATCTCATCAAACATCCCGCACATTTCACAAAGCCGTTCCAGCGACAGATCCAGAAAACCGATCGTCGGAATCAACAGAAACAGGAGAATCGACGGAGAGAAACGAATCACAAGAGCAAGAAATCAGCTGGAAGGAGATCGGAATATCGAGAGGAGGAAACGGACCTGTGCTGAGTAGAGGAATGAAACGAGCGAAGGGAGTCCGAGATGCGAGAGTGGCACGAGTAGGGCACAAGCTCTGTGTTGATGGGAAATAAAAAGGGAGTCGAGTCGAGTCGAGGATAGGAAAGATAAGAAAGGGTCTAGTGTGTGTGAGTAACTCGAATCAAGCCGTTGGGTCTGAATTGATCATGCGGCTGGCATTGGTTTTTGGAAATGGATGGTTGCGATTAAAAAGGGCAGGGGCGGGATGGACAGCAAAAAGTAGTGTTAGGTGATGGGAATATTGAAATTGTGGAAGCCAAGAAAACGAGAAAAGTTGCATTATTATCTGAGCCGGTCAAATGGATATTTAGGCCAAAACGAATGATATAAAAAAGATATTCCCACGTTAGTAAACGCTAATATGACGGAATTGTCCCCCAGTGGTACCAGAAACGGGTGCCTATGATGGGGTTAACAGCGTCAGTTCAAGGATGGCGATGTGATTAAGCGTTTATTTGTTGTGATGTGATTTTAATTTTCGACGGTGTGAACGCATTTTCATACTAGCTTATAACCCGGCCCTTTGACCGGAATGCTCATATTTGATTATTTGTATTTTTTGTTACTTTTAAGTCTATTAGCCCGTTTAATCTTATTGATAATCATTCGATCGAGACGATACATAAAGAAATAATATATAGGTCAAACATTCGAAGAAATATCATAATCATTTAAGAATATAAAATAGAAAAATGTATCATTGACCCCATTTTCATAATGCTAATTAAGTCCCTGTTAAAATGCTATTGGTTAGTTTTATTTTACAGTCAAGAAATATAAAGTATAAAAGCTCACTGAAATTCTCACACGACCCATAGATAGTTTGAAACTAAATCTTAAACCTCACAATCCTATATAAAGGGTTCAATGCTCTGCTTTTAGAAACAATATGTCACAAATCAAAAAGAAATGGAGAGTTGTTGATTCAAGTCATCTATATACTAAAAACTCAGCTAAGAGGGGACCATCACAACTTGAGAGCAAACGAAAAAATCAGGGTTATCTCCAATATACGAATAGACTCGATCAAAGTAATAAGGCGCAAAATTAGACACTCCTTATCTATTAGTTCCATTAGGTTGAATAAAAAAGCGACCTATTTCAAACAATCAATCAATGATTCCTCGTTTTAAGATAGAAATAGGTTGTGACAATTGTAAAAATCATAAACCTAAAGATCCAATAGCCACCACTCTCCGTTGTACAACCAAATTTCTATCTCAAGAGGCATATATTCAACCAAAAATTCAATTTCTAATCCTCCTTCTACAACTCCAGTTATTGATGAACTCCATTCTATTCACCAAGGATTGATATCGGAGTTGAAATCTTCTACTCGCCCAGTTTAAAATCCCCAACAATAAAACCGTAGTGCCAAGAGATACCTGAAGATTGATTTTCAATGACAGTCTTGTACTGGGAAGTGAAAGGCGCAAAATATTGCACGAAGGATGAAATTTCGGAGGAAGTTAGAAAGAGAAAAGAACAAAGATAAAAAATCACAAAATTTAAATTGAAAAATGCAAGGATACAACACGTAGTTACATAATTAGTTTCTTCCATGTTAGCCAATTAGCCATTTACCTTTAGCAAAAATTAAGGAGAGAGCGGGAATTTAAAATTGAGAAAATTACATGAAACTCTACTATAAAAATAGAAGTATCAAGCTCGATAAAAATACATACGGTAGACTTAGTGAGCTTGCTAATTATGATGAAAAAGTCCTCTGATTTTCAGAGATTAACTTTGTCTATGTTTTGTATCAAAAAGGATACAATAAATTTGTTTAGTGTAATTGGTTGTAATTGTTATCTTTGTTTGAAGAGACCCGGGTTCAAATCTTGATATTGCTATTTTCATATGAAATAAATAAATGTGTAAAGACAAAAATGACCTTCCTACTTTCACTCTCATTGCAGGAAATTTGAAATGGAGAAAAGTACACAAAACTCTACCATATATTAATGGAGGATTTAAGAAGATTCCATGGAGGAGAATGATAAAGTGACCTGTCCGTGTCTCTGAGACAAATTTCCCTCCCTCTCGAGAGGTTCCAAAACGGCAGAGTATATACATAATAAATTGGGACTATTTTTTAATTTATTTTTTAATGATTATTTATTAGCCAAACTTTTTTCATATTTTTTATTAGTCAAATATATCGAAATACTAATAATTAGCCAGATATTAACTTTCAGTTGACAATTTTGATTTGGCAATATGATACTGACTTGGAAAAGACACATGAAGGACAACATTCCAAAAATTTTAGTATTTTAACTAAGAAAAGAGTTACAAAATTATTAACGATAACGTAAAAACGGCTAATCTTTTAATGCATCACGAAAGATTTTGCTAATTAATAACATTTTAATAGGTTTGGATAATATAAAAGAATGTGAAAAAAGGTTTGGATAAAAAATAGACATTACCCTTTGTTTTTTACTAATTACATGAGCTGCCACTTGGTTTGTTGGTGGCAATAGGGAGGACAGCCAATAAGTTTGTGACGCTTTTTTTTTAATATGGGCTTCTTTAAATGAAACCAAGGATAACATATTTTTTACCTAGACCCCAAGGAAGGAAAAACTACATTTGGGCTCAGGCCTTTAAATCAAAACAAATTTGTGCAAGATGAAGCCCAACACATGAGCATGTAACAAAAACCCTTAACCTAATCAAAATCCAGCGGAGAAAAGCAGCCACCGCACAAGGAGAAATCCATGCCACAGCCGACGGTAAAAAGTCGCAAGAAATCCAGCCAAAATGTGCATGTACCACTGAACCCCTAAGCCACCTAGTGTATGAGACACCACCTTCACAACGAAAGCACAAGCATCCAGAAGAAAGGTGATTAGAAGCCCAAATATAGTGATCCTCGCCTTCGAGCTTCACGAAACTGGAACCAAGAGACAATCACAATAGGATTCCCATATCTTCTCCGAAACACCTACCAAAGAGATGAAGCAAGGAGGACGAGCAGAAACATGAAGAAGAAGGCAGGTTAAGGGGACCTCAACCTCCTCTGTCATAAACAAAATCATCTCAAATGAACATATCTGAAGATCTGACATGAGGAAGAAGCAGAGGCAGCCATCTACATGAGAGGCGCGGAAAAGGAAGTCCCACTTAAGTAGTGGTGTAGCCAAAAAATTTGTTAAGGTGAGTACAACGATAAAAAGATAATTATTATTAACTTATATTAATATTTTACAAAGAACCATGAATTCTGAAAAGTATGTAAAATACATTCATCATCCATGATTTCATCCCTCATTCGATTTCGAAGTGTGTTTTTCACAAAGTTCATTGCAAGAAATCCTCTTTCAACACTTGCAATGACAACAGGTAGCAACATATTATTCTAGCCATTGCTTTTTTGAAATCCAAGTAACCAATTCTTCCTTCTCAAAATAAGAACAGATTATTCTAGCAACCTAGCCTTGTAATTAGGGGTGGTTAACGGTCGGTAACCGGTTTAATCGGTTACCATTTGACCGGTTTTCGGTGTACCAGAATTCCCCGCGTAGCTGCTGTTAGCCGGTACCGATATTAATTGGTATACCGTTTGCCGACTGGAACGGTTTCGATAACGGGAACGGTTTTCCGAATTCCGGCATGCTATTGCTGCGGGCGGAAATAAAGTGGAAGGAAATAAACACTTGTGACTTGTACTCTTGACACTTGTCTGCATGCTGTGTTAATCTCATTGTCTTGTACTCTTGTGACTTTCCTGCCGCAAAGTGGAAGGCCATCATTCATTCCTCGAGCATATGGAAGGGAAGGCCATCATTCCCTTCTCCTTGGCTGTAAGTTGTATTGCTTCGACAGCAAAAAAGGAAAAACAAACTAGTTAATTTTATTTAGAGATTAACTATGAGCTGTGCTTCTCTGCTCGGTGGCTACGACAAATAGAATAGTCAAATAAACACACAAACACAAAGAACTCGGCGGCTATACCTATAATTAATTGATTATGAAAGAATGGAAGTATGAAACGATTATGAAACAATGAAACTCGTCTACGGAAGTTAGTAAGTTACCTCAAATCAAATCGAGACGAACTGCTATCTGCTTGGCTATGGGATTAAGGGAGGGATTAAGCTCCGACGGGACGGCAACGGGAACAGGGCAACGACAAAGGGACTTGACGGAAACAGAGCCTGCCGGAGAGATGAGGCACCCTGGTTTGCTGGGTCGTGTCTTTTGGATGGAACTTGCGCCGGCGACGGGGAGAGCCCTCCAGTTTCGATCGGCGGCGTTTGGTTGGATGAACGGCGGAGGGATCGGCGGCGTGACTCGTCTTGCTCGTGCAGCAGGTGAGAGAGATGCAAAAGGCGCTTTGCTTTAGTTGTCTAATTACTAATTACCACTAGGACTAGGTTAATTACTTAGGGAGGCCGACGTAAGTTGATGGCTGATGCCTTTTCCCCTTCGGTATCGAAATACCGATTTGTCGGCGGTATTTTTACCGTCCATATCTCGGTCTACCGCTAGCCAGAATCCCGTGGCCGAATCCCGTGTGGAACGGTTATCGGTTTAACCGGTTACCATGATTACCGGTACGGTAACCGGTTAAACCGTTAACTGTTCCACCGTTTACCACCCCTACTTGTAATGGATTAGGCCAATAGGGGATTTCAATTTTGATTTAAGAACGGTTCACCAATTGATAAAAGAATATGTACTATCTTCTAAGGAGAGTTAGTAAGTGGCAATCCAACCAAGAAGCGTCGACCTAGTAGACTCCCAATCTTGGACGGACGGACGAGTGGTCACCTAGTGGGTGAGTCTCTCACCGTGAGAGTTCGATGACGGCCTTTGGTTGGAGACGTCAATTCGACAGACAATGGAGGACTATTTGGCAGTAGAAATTAGGGATTGAGAGGAATAAATAATTTGAGGGGGTCTTTCTATTCTGTAACTCAATTAAAATATACAAAAAATAAATAAAATTATTTTCATAATTAATAGCTTGTGTAGTTTAGTGGAAGAAACCCACTACAATTATGAAAGGAGGAATGTCCAAAGCCCAAATACTATAAAAACATATATATTTTCCCCTTCCTAACTCACACTCAAGGTGGGTCTAGGGATCCACCCACTAATGAGATGACTCCGCCACTGCACTTAATGGTTGAAACTGACATGAACAAACTGAAAAGCAGAAGGAAAGACTGGGAAAAAAAAGAGTTGGATCACCGTCGGTCACTTGATGGTGTAAGCGGCGAGCACTAAAAAATCAGAGGAGAAGAAAAGCTAGAGAGAGGCGAGAGGTTTTCAAGTTAGAGAGAGGAAAAGAAAAAAGCGATTTTAATAAAAGTTCAAGTTTGTTACACTTGGTAGATGCAGGACCAAAAACTTTCCACTTGTCGGCTGCTTTGAGCATTTCATGCGATCGCATTACACACGCAGGACAGAATTGACAATAGAGGGATTTTGATTTTCTTCTAACTATAGCTTTTGCCCCGCCGATTGACTACAACTTTCATAACTTTATTTAAGTAATTATATATCTTTTAGCCATGAAGGGTATAATAAATGGCGGATCGTTAGCAGTTATTTTACTTTATAATAAGGTTCGTAATCGCTTATCAGGTTAGCGGTGTAATCAATTATCGAATTGAAATTGATAGTTAATGGTTACACCGAATCAATTAAATAGTAAACAAACGGTTGTCGACAACAAAATTTAGTTATTTACTAATCGACAGTTACTCAGGTAATAACTGACGGTTAAATCGTTAACCGACCAACCAATTATGGTCATCCTCATAGATAGGTCGAAAATAATATGTGTTGATGAGTCGTAGGCATGGACCGAAATCAATGGGATGTTTGAAGGGCTACAAGATCCCTTGCCTACCCTAATTGTAATAGTAACTTAGGTTCAAATGAGAATAATTTCAAGGAAGGATTTTAGAAATAACACAGTAGAAAGAGAGACTTGCACACAGTAGCTCAACAACAATGAGTAATATTGAAATTTTCATGTGATTTGGAAGGGTTAATGAGTTGAGCATTATTGTTGGGTTTCTTATTATGGCTTCTTTTTTAATAAAATTTGACGGTAGACTGAAGTTATTGTATACTTGTGTTGGATTTATTTGATTATGAATGAATATATATGTTACATTATTTTTTATACAATGATAACAACTAAGGTTGTCGACCCAGTTTGGTCAGTTTGCTCGATCGACCAAGTGGATGAAGGGGTAATGGTATTAATTGTTTAGTCTGAATTTGTCTAGAATAGCCCAATTTTATTTGGATGCATGAAAAAGTCATTATATAGTATGTATATATAAATTTTATCAATTATAATCTAACATAATACTAATAACATATACCATTACACCAAAATAATACGTGAATCCAACATCAAGAAAGCGACATTTTAATAGAAACCAAATAATACCTAACTTAAAATATTATATTATTATACTTACAGCAGCAGTCGGGTAACCACACCTTTATCATGTTCTCCAAATCCCCCCCCCCCCCCCCCCCCCGCCCCAAGTTCCCCTTTATCGACATTCCCCGTTTGTGTTAAAGTTTTATCAGCACTCACGATGAACCCATTTCAACATAATCGAAACATGAAAATAAACATTAGTAGCGACAGCGACGCGACCCTCCCGTTCCGTTTCCTTCTCCCTCGCGCGATAAACCGCAGCAGCTTGTCCTAACTTCGTCGGAGCTCGACGGGAAAACCAGAAAAGCCACGTTCAACTATACTTCAAACGAGGGAGAAACAAGCACCATAAGTTTGGGATGAAAATTTGTCAAGTTCAGGTACTGTTCGTAGTATTTCAAAAAGTTTATGGACCATCATTGTAATTTTCCACAAAGGTCGGACTCAGTGGCGTTGACTGGAAAATTATGAATGCGGTACCTGACACTTTTAAATCTGATAGATTTCTTATTTTGATCATAATTCGTTCATTCAACGTCCAAAGGAGGAACCGTCTGTGCCTAAGGAATCATAGAAGCAAGGAGAATATTATAGGAGCGAGATTTTGGAATTTCAAAGCCGAAGTAGATTTGGTTTCGACGGAAAGAAGGTGAGTGTAAAGGGTGTTGTATCTCAGTCGTAGGTCTTTTAGTTTATGCAATTATTTTTAAGTAATGCTAGTTAATTTTTGTGTTATGCGCGATTATGTGTGTGAGGCATCCCACCGCCTACTGAAGGTGGAGGCACGCGTTGTGCTTGTGTATATGAATGTGTGTGTTGATGTATGGATGATGGTTAATGGTAAGATGAACCCCCGGGCGGTTAGGTCACTAATGGACGTGGTAGATGGTCGGATCACTGTTGGACGGTGATACGTAACGCATGAGTTTATCAGGCATGGTACTGGACGACGAGACGTAACGCAAACTATTTCCGTGTTGGGTATGCAAGCGGACGACGAGACATAACTCAGTTGGGATACCAAGGTAGGGACATCGAACGACGAGACGTAATGTGGTGGCCCTAGTGATATGTGTTTGAGTTAAGGATATAAGTAGAGAACTTCTATGAGTTAACGTTGGAATAAGGTATTGATGATGAAAGCGAGAAGAGATTTCATCTAAGGAAAGGAAACGCTAATAACATGTTTTAGTAAGGAGATTGCTTAGGGCAAAGACCTTAGGAAGTAACGACAAGAATGACACCTTCTCACTCATTAGGTATAAAAAGGGTTAGCGGATATGGACTTCGGGAAGAGGCAGGACGAGGCGAGCAGTCGTACCAGCATGGACAAGATCTCAGGGAGCTCAGCAAGGAGTTAGAGTTAGAGTTTGTTTAGCTATTTATGTTCATGATTATGAGTATAAACTGGAGGTTCCAGGTTCATAATTTATGTTGTTATGGATTGAGTTCGCCCAAGTGTTTAGGGCAATTCATTTGAATTTCTTTTGGAAATGATTCAGTTGTTTTTTTTATTGAAATTTTTTAACTTTGTTTTTTTCTGCTCCGGAGCCATGAGTATTTCGGTTTGGTAAAATGGATCCAGATGTTTCATTTTGGTATCAGAGCTGGAACTCCTCTGTTCCTTCATTTCCAAGGAATACTAGAGTGACGGTCCGGGTGTTTTTTCAAGGTTTTTTATTTAAAAAGAAAGGTAAAAGGGATGCCGGGTTAAAGGTTTGACTAAGTGAGTCAAAAATGTACTCTTAAGGAATTTTAGAACCCCAAGTATACTCTAATCATGATTAGGAAAATAACTCTATTAGGCCCGCATGACTATGATACGTCTCGAGAAGGAGGAAGAGCAGATTCCTAAAAAAATCGTTTAGCAAAAAACCTTCATGAGTGAGAAGAGGAGGTTCAGAGCAGCTCATATCCTACAGGGATGCGATCTGATCAAAATAAGGTTCAAGAAGATGCCAATTATCTAGTACGTCGACAGGTAGTAGCCAAGGAGTCACGGCAAATGTTGGCCATCATCGAGAGAAAAGGAGGCAGGAAGGGTTCACTAAGTTCACTAGAGTCTAACTTAGGGCTACTATCCCAAGGAGCATTGGAAAGTTAGACTCTAAGCAACGCTAGGGGATCATAAGCAAAGCAAAGGAGGAAATTAAGGACGTCATAAGAGGCTGCAAGATTTCAAGGGATCAATATGTCAAGGCTAGGAGGAGGCACGTTTGGGCACATACATTGACAAAGGAATCCCTTATGGATACAATATGCCCCTAAGAAGAGGAATCGTGGAGCTGGCGAATTAGATCGGCAGCAAGACCTGAAAGAAAGGAGTCAACCATCAAGATTAACGATGTAAAGAATGAGGAAGGAGCACGCACGCTATGTAGCTAATAAGTGCAAGCTAGAGGATAAGGTATGCGAGGGATTCTTAACGGATGGAAATACATTCCTCGGTAGTGAATTAGGCATGGAACCGGATGGTGACAAGTTTCACGTTCCCCATTTCCCAAGTTCGATAAGTGATTCGGGTCCAAATGTACACATTTTACCCCTCATTTCTTGTCCGTTATGCTTAGTTGATCATCGTCCCTTGACCTATTTTACACTAGGTTGTGCTTGTTTTGGTACATTTTAGGTTCTAGCACATGTGGGAAGGTCCGGGACGAGTTTCAGGTCATTCGGAGGTCAAAACGAGCCAAAAAGTGGAGGTTGAGTCTTGTTCACGGGCTAGAGCTTCAGTTCCTGAAAGCCCAGACCGTGAAGTGACCAATTTCCAGAATGGTTTTGGAAGTTACTAGCATCAAGTCAGTTCACGGTCTCTAAGACCGTGAACTAAAAGCCCAGAACATGAAGTCGTCAGTTCACTGTCTAAGACCGTGAACTGAAGCACCTGGCCGTGAACTGAAGCACCCGGCCGCGAACTGGGCCCTGTCATGCAAATT